GAGCACTCACTGAGCGCGTTACGGGACCCACTCGTCCCCCGCGCCTTAGATCTCAATATTTAGAGTCTCACCAGCACCGCTCATCGCCTAGTATATTCTAGGCAGAATGACATTAATAACCAAGGTAAACGTGATTGATTGTCTTTCCAGACTTCTGCCAAACATAGGGGACATGCTTGTTTCGGAAGGTCACTGAATCGATGTACGTCCGTTCCCGCTCGAATAAATACCCAGTGTTCAGCAACATCAAATGCCGGGTGGTATGAGGCATTGACGGACCTCATTTCGATAAAATGTTCATGTATCCTTTGATAGACCCCAATCTACAGACCATCCGCGTCGTGTGTGCACATGTTTATGTTCCAGATAGTGGCCATTCCAATTGTAAAAATAGTCACATTAAGATGGACCCGCGCGATATGTCAAAACTATCGCGCGAAAAAGTTAAATATGGAAGCAAAGTCAACTCACTCTCCCGTGCTTCGAATTCATAGCCAACGACCACGCCATTCGGCTCTCTAGGGGCTGTCCAGGTGATGTTAACTTTGTTGATGCCGATCATCACGGTCTGAAGTTCAGATACCGGTCCGGGAATGCCCTCCAGGGTTGTCATAGTGACTACCCCGCTTCAGGTTTGAAGAAGAGACAAGATAAACTGAAGTTGGCGTTCCAGACGCTCCAGGAGGCAAAATATTTTACGTTCAAACCTCATCAACAATTAATAAAAGCAGATAGAATAGAGAATATAGGCAGCCGATAAGCCGTGAAACTGTTTAAAGTGCACCTGAGGGGGTCAGCATCCGCGCAATGACTGACCTCATTGGGCCTGCATTGAGACTGTTGAGGATACGCAGCCAAAGCCTGATCTCCGTAGCCCCGGGCACCCCGGTCAGCGTGTAATTGATCGCCTGACCCCAGGTGAAATTCTGCAATATGATTGGTGTAATCGAGCTCTTAGCATCTGGCAGGGTGGTCATGGTGACCAGCTGACGACGTGACCGTGCCAACTGAAACTGAATGGCCTCGCCGAGGCAGGAAGGTGATCTAAATGGCGAGACTGGGCAGGCATCCTGGAACGACTCACAATTGCCTGGGCTGCTGTAATAGTGTGCATGATCCTGCGTGCTTGTGTCTTCCTTTGCATCTTTCTCCTCCGCTGAACGCGGTCGACGGAGGTAGGATATGGGAATGGGAAGCATTTGAAAAAGCACGTCCTGGAAGAAAAGAGATACAAAATACATGATGCAGACCGAGCAGACGTCGCGAAGGAGGGAAAAAAGAATGATCAACTGGCTGACAAAATGAATCATTGAGCAAAATGAGGACATTTAGAACGAGTATTTGAGTACATGCACGCCTATTTAGGCCGCTTATGAAATACGCCAACTGTTCTAGTCATACCCCGACGGCTCAGAACGCTTCGGAGATCTTTCTCATGAAAACAACACCGCTTTATAAAAATATGCGTACCAAGTGCTCT